GATACTTTGTACAGACCAAAGGTCAGTTTTATGTTGTTTGATACGGTAACATGAATGTATGTGCACCGTGTCATTGTAACTTCTGTACTGTTAGCCTGGCATGGCTGAAAGGTCAATATAATAAAAATAATAAATATATACAAATGTATACTGTTATAAGATTTACGCTATTTAGTCTAAATATTTATGTTTTGTGTTATAATCTGTAGTCATTCTAGAATGAAAAGGGCATAATTTATATTTATTTCCTGATTTTTTTAACGTGGTTACGAGATCAGTCAAATCAACCAAACCCATACAGAGATTCATTACTGAAAATAACCGATAAAATATAGTTTTTTCTTAAGAAATGTTTGATAACTATCTGAACATTACAAAAATTTTGCATGTGAAATTTGAAAATTTTCTGATGCACAAAAGTATTTTTAATCTTGAAATGAAAATTACTTTGCATGTTGGATAGAGAATACGCGAAAAGAAAAGGCATACGAAAAACATTGCTTTACAAACCTCAAGACTTTATAAAAAAATTTGATATTTTGCATATGAAAGCATTATAGTGTTTAACGATATTATGCCAAATTCCGTTAACATATGCTTACTAACTTAGCATGAAAACTATAACAAGCACAAACTGGTTACGAGGTTGGTCCCAGGAACTGACCCATGCTGAAAGAGTTAAAGAGCACGTAGAGTGTGTGCCTAATATGCAAACACACCAAAAATAAAAAATAAAAAAATTCCAATGAAGATATAGCCATTCGCATCCACTTATAAAAAAACAAAAACATTCAAATGATTTAAAGTGCTTACATCACATCATCAAGTATTAAAGTGCTTACATCACATCATCAAGTATTAAAGTGCTTACATCACATCATCAAGCAAATAATTACACATGTTCCTCACAATCTGCTTTGCAGTGAAGCCAACAGATGCCTTGCAGTGTTGAGGGGAGACACGGGGAATGATTTCTTGCTCGCTTGTTTACCTCCTGTATCAT